GTTGATACGAGTGTGCAGTCATTGGATTTTGTTGTTGAATTGGTTGAAAAGATTGTGTATTAATTGGATTTTGTTGTTGAATTGGTTGTTGATGTTGTGCATCTATTGTTTGTGGAGAAAAATTTCTATGGTTTGTACATTTTTTCTGTATTCCTTGTCTACGATATTCTTGAGTATTTTGTGCAAATATATCTGGTTGTAAGAAATCATCATCTGAGGATAAATAATCCATTTGATAAGATGTTTGTTTTTTATTTTTATTTTGTTGAAAAAATGGGTAATTTTCACTGCGATCCTGTGGAGGATTTGGTTGAAAATTTTTGGAATTATATTGGGCCGTTGGGTTATCCCAGTTTCGAGGTTTTGTATATTGATTAAAATTTCTTTGTGGTTGATAATTTGTTTTTGACGGATGTGTATAATTATAATTATGGTCTGCAAAGTTGTTTCTAGTGAATGTTTTGCGTGTTTTTGATGGTATTTTCATGGGTCTATATGTTTGGTAATCCATATGTGAATATTTTGGAGCAACCGAAGGTTTAACGGTTGATTGTAAGGTTACTTGTGTTTGTGAAAGATTTGTATTTCTTGGTGTTGTTAAATTCGGGCGTATTGGTGAAATACTTTGTTGTGTAGTTGTTGTGTGTACAATTTCTTCATTTATGAAGTGTGATGGTGTCTGTATATCTTGTTGAGTAAGATTCCTAGTTCCATTGAGGTTTTCGTTGTGTATGACTGTAGAGTTTAAACTATTATTTTGTGTATCGGGTAAAAATGTATTATAGTTTAATGGTGTTGCATCAATTGTTAATGGTATTACTCTTACATAATCTCTTATGTAAGATATTGTACCTATTGCTTGACTTGAGATTGATTGTGGAAAGCTTATAAATGCGGGATGAGACCATTCGGGGTCCCAAACATAATCTGATTGTTCTGTGATAGCGGTATCATCGTTCGAATTTTGGGGTCTAAAATTTTTTCTTGCTTGTGCAATTAAATCAATATTGTGTGTGAAATAATCTATTATGAACCATGCCAAAATTTTTTGTAAATCGTGTTTGGTATGTTGTGAAACGTCGTCTTTCGTGAAATTTTCTTTAATGATGTTTAAATAACTAGAGAGTAGTGTGATTTCATGTCGTACTCTTAAATGTTTAGATGTTTCTGTCGGTGAGACATTTGTTAATGGGATTTCGTTTTCTAATATCGAAATATAACTATATATTATTGCGAAAACTTCATTGGTGAAAATGGAGTTTGCTCTTTGTGAGTTATGGTATTGGATGCTTTTTATATATTCTGAAAAAACTTTTGAAAATTCTAAATCAAGATCGTCTGTTTGAATAGTATATGTTCTATTATTATGGTTTGGGGAAGTGAATTCTATAGAGTAGATTCCATACTGTTGTGTTATGTTGCATATATCTTTTAGATAGTGATCTATGATTTGTCTTTTGATTTTTACATCGGGGAACTCTGTTTTACATGGACTGATTCCGGGTTCAAATAAATTTACGAGTAAATTTTGACAAAATATGTGTTGTCCTCTATCAGTATCTGCATCTACTATAAAAGGAAAGATTTCATCATCATCTGGGGTTTCGTCACCTGGGGTGTGCGTTGAGCTCATTTTTTCGTTCGATGACTGTTAATATGTAATTATTAATGTGTCGAATTGGTTGATTCCAATTGTATAAATGTACTGGTTTGTGTTTATACTGCTTTTTTATTCTTCTTTTTCCTCTTTTTGATGAATTTGAAGTTGTTTCTGAGTCAGAAAAATATAATTGATCGTGAAGTGGGTAATTTTTATCTATTGATTCTTTTAGTTTGTAAAGTTCGTCTAAACTGTTGGTTTCTGATTCTGAAAATGCGTTTCGATTTTTTGAAAATCTTTTTCGTGTTATTTGTCTTTGTTTAGTTATTATTTTCCTCTTTAGTGTTTGTCGTTTTGTGCGAATGTATCCAACTGTTTGTGTATGAGGTGTGATTACAAGGTCGTATTTTTTGTTATCTATTTCACAATTGTGTAAAACGATTGTTTGTTTATTTCCTAGGTTTTTAAATGACATAAGGTTTAGAATGACGGATGCAAAAGGTTGTTAAGTGAATTCTAATTACTTAAACTGTTAGTCCTTACGATTTTTTGGTTAGCTTAACCTGGGTCTATTTGTTCAGGGTTGGAGAGAAAAGTATATCGATTCCGAAGAATGATTTTTTACTTTCTCGTGACTAGTATAAGTTAAGGTGTTAACTTACTTAATCTTACTTAGGGGTAGTGATTGTGTTCAAGGGTTGGAGAATAGTAAATCGATCCACAAGGTTCAGGTATAATTAGAACGCGAGTAGTTCGTTAGATACTATTTTAAACTTACTAAGTCTAAGATTTATCCTGGGTCTGGTAAGAGGGGGGGTCAAGTGAAGGATGAATAACCGAAGTTCTTCACTATTTATCCTAATTTGAATGATTAGTTTTGTTTAAAAATTTCTATTAGTCTTGGGTCTTTAGAAAGGGTTGGGTAGTGAATCGACGTTTGAGGTCGTTAGACACTAATTAAGTGGGTGGGGGAGAACAAAGTTGTTCTGTTTGATCCAAGGATAAGCCTTGATGATCAAATTTAAAATTTAATTAAGTAGAAAATGATTTAAGATCCAAGGATAAGCCTTGATGATCAAATTTAAAATTAAGTGAATTTAAGTTTTAATAAAATTTTAAATGTGTGTAAAGGAAAGATTTAGTGTTTTGATGATGTTAGTGGGTTTATGATTGCTGTTATGTTTTAGATGATGAAGCTGGAACAACAGGATGATTTATGATTACTAACCAATTATTGTCATGCTACTAATTTTTATTTTTATTTTCCAACGTACGTAAGGCGGTAGAAGGATTGATGAACAACCCAAAGCATATTCATGAGCAAAAAACCTAATTCAAATGCAAAAAAGAATGTTAAAACAGAAGGATCACATTTAAACCGAATACAAACCTGACACGAGTTTACACATTGGAAACGGTGGTACAACCCATGTGCAAAAAAAGGCAATAAATATGACCAGCCGTCAAAAAATTTGCAGACTGAGTGGAGAGGGGTTACCCAAATACAGTTGATAGCCTAAGACGAGATAAGAACACCGATTTATTGTCTATCATCCAAATCAAATAGACAATATAAAACTAGATGACTAAATTCGAAGGTCATTTGGAGATTTATTGCCTTTATTTATTGCCTTTTTTGGAGAGCGTATTTTTCAAATACAAGGCTAGGGAGGATCGACACTTTTACAATAAAATTAACCCAATGTGAGAAAACTGAACCAATAGATAATTTCTATTCCACTGCGAAATCTGAAAAACTAAATTCACATTTGAAATTAGAAAGCGATTAAATTTTTAGTTACCTCCAGGAACTTTAGCTGATCGAAAGAGTAGGTTGCCTTCTTTTAAACAAAGGAAATAAACTGAGCTTGATGAGTTAGGACTGGTATGTATAACTCATAGAGTAATTTCGGATAGGGTACACCGTCTGCTCGTCACGCTATCTTATTTTCGGCCGGATAGATTCGTGCAACTTCTTAGTCTAATACCGATCCTAATCTTACTCTTATACTATCTAGTCTCAGGTTGTTTAACTAGTCTCTGCTAGGCTCAATAGATCTAGGGTATACTGGTTTATTGCGGCTGCTGAAGTGCTCGGGAGAGTCCAACTAATTTCTAAGTTAAATTCAAATCTCTCTGGTGCTGAAGTTGCAAGTAACTTCAGCACTTACAAATAAGTGGGTTGTTAGTTAGATGGATCATGATTGGTTAATATTAAATACTTTACATTGGTAAAACATTTAATTTATCCAATCATAAAATATAGTTTAGATCAGGTTCCATTGATTCAAATCGAAAAATGTTTATTCAAACTGCAAAAAATCAACTTGAGCGTAAAATCAAACTGCAAAAAAATCAAAACAACCACTTCGTTACAGCCTGATATCAAAGTAACGTCCACTTTTAAAAAAAAAATGCTCAGCTTAATAGTAACGTCCACGCACCAACTGATACAACTAAGCCAACCCAAAATAAAAACAAGCAAACATTTCAAAGCTTAAATTTTACAGATAAATTGACAGGACTCGAACTGCTGACCTTTTTCGTCCCAGGCATGGACGTCGCCTTTACAACAGGAAAAAGCCTAGTACCAGTTAAATTACAATAACTTAAGGAAAAAATACAAAAATACTTTTGAAACTTGCAATCAATCTTGTTTATTTTTAGTGCAATTCGATTTTTCGATATTGCAGAGCGTAATTTATCCTTCTTTCAGCAAATCATTTTGAACTGAACTTTAAAAGAATCCAGAAGTCAAACCGCAAAAAAACTAAAATTACGCGTAACAATTTTTACACAGACGAAGCGGAACGTCGTATACAATCAAAAAAGGCAATCTGAAGCTTTCAGATTGCATGAAAGTAAATCAACTAAAAAATTGAAAAACAAAAAAATTGCCCTCTGGGAATTGAACCTCCGCTACCGACGACCAACACATTTAGAGTCACCTGCCTTGCCAGTTGAGCTGCGAGCTCTTGCCGTGAGCCATACACCAGCCAATATAGTGGCTGGTATCTGCCAAAGACCAGCTACACAGATTCCTAAATTCGGCACTTTTGAGAAAGTGCCGCTAACTTATGTAACGTTGGCTGGAAAAAAAATGAATTCCCAGTGAACGCAAGCATTCGCTTGTGTGAAAACTTTCTACCTGCAAAAAAACCAGGCGACCTATAAAAGCGTTTTCACTTCGTTCATTAAAAAATTCATTAATTCGATTATTTTCTTTAATGTTATCATCAAATTAAATTTGAAATTAAACGAACTCGCACAGTACAGCCAGTGGGATTATATACAGGAAGATGATCCCGTCAAGTAATCAGTCACTTAATTGATTCCCTCAACTTTATCCGGTCAATTTAACTTTGGAGCAATTAAATGACAAATCGGAACATAATCTCACCTGCAAGGGTGGCTGGACTCCTGAAGAAGTCATCAGGGTATGTCTTGTAATAAACTTCCACATCCACATTGGTACCGCCTCCTCCGGTCGCAGTGTTGTCATCCTTCCCAGTATTACCTTTCCCTTTTCCTCCAGGTCGTGAGGTTGATACTTCGATGCCAGTGCCAGAATCCTAGGAAACCAGTTAAATTAAGAGCTGTTCTGTCGTTTTTTTTAGCTCAGTGAGTGCGGCATAGCGCATCTAGGTCATAATTTAGTATATGTTGAGCAAAAATGATTTCGCAAAATAGTGCAAAATGTTAGCAAAACTAGTATAAGAGAAGCTTATTGGGGGTTCTTCTTTGGGCTACCTTAAGTGGGCATCTTACAATTAGGATATTTTTTCTCAATGAATCATTGGTTTGTTTCGATAAATCCTTCTACTCCTGCGGATCTGTCGCTGTGACTTACTGTGCTGGGTGTGATGTACTTCTCTCGGAAGTCCTGGAGATGCTGCTGAGCAAAATTCTTTCTATTCGTCTGCTTGTCTGAAATAATACATAATTACTTCAACCGAAAAACTAACTGAAAAAATAGTCTAACTTTTTCAACATAGAGAGGAAGCTGCAAATTCTCAAAAACTAGCGAAAAATGGCAAAAGTAGCTCGAAAAAAAAACAGAAAGATCAGGTAAAACTATTAAAAAAACTACTATGTACCGGAATCGAAACCCCGACCTGGAAACACAGATCCACACGTCTTAGCACCTGCGCTATGGTCGCTTGACAAACGCCAAACCAGATACAAATATATAATGCTAAGCAGGATGTATAGCTATGCAGCAAAAGTAAGCCACACGTAATACTATAGCTGCAAAACACCTTCAAACAAATGAGCACCTAGTTGCGACTTAGATTAGAAAAAGTGGACTTCGTTGAAGGCACTACGATCCTCATGAGTAAAAGTAGCAAAGAGAAACATAGAAAAAAGTCGATGAATTCAAGAAAAACGAAAGAAAAATTTTTGGAGCAATTTTCGTATTTCGAAAAATATATACATCACTATAAGCTCTATGAATTTGAACTTGAATCGTTCATATTTCTTGCGTCACTTGCACTTTTGTAAATCGAGAATGTAAATTACCTTCATTTTAGCATATGAATTTGAACTTGACTTGAAATGGCATCAAAATTCTTCGAGCCCAACCAAAATTTTTATTCAAACAAAAATACACGGCTTTAATAAGTGTCTTCACTTCGTTCACTAACGCTTGAACAAAGCCAAGTTCGAGTTTTAAAGAGAAAAACATATGCTTATGGCTTTGTAATTCATTATTTTATGAATGACAGTTTTTGATATAAGTAACCCAGATTAAGAAAAGTCGCTCAAAATGTAAATTTTTTGTTCTTTTGTCATATCTGAAAATTAAAATCATTTTATCAAACTAAAAATCAATCACGTTTTTTGCGTCATTTCCATTCCCGTTTTAGACAAAAGAAGCAAAAATCATTAATACTTGAAAAAAAAACTCAGCCGACAAGCAGTTCAAAAAAAAACAGCTATAGAACAAGACCACGACCATTTTTTTTTTGAGTTTTTCAGTTTATAACATGAGTTGAAACCGTTGAAGCAAAAAAAAAAATTAAAAAACGTATTCGGGAAATTAATTAAATAGAAAAAACATCGTAAAAACACAACACCAAGTGAGAAGGTCCCTCAAAGGTATCTAGGTTCCACAATAAAATAAAATTAATTTCTTACTGATTTGTAAGAATGTTGTTTAAGGAAAACCAGTTCCCGATTACAATTCACTTGCTCTCACGAAATGAAAACATCGAAAAAAAATTATCAATGTCGTGGTTTTTGGCCAAACCTTCCATTATACAAACCAACTCAATCAAATGGGTTATATCAGCTCAAAGATCAAAAACAGCAATTAAATAATTACATTTTAAAATTTTTGAAAATGGACTCAAAACCAAAAAACCAACTCGACCTTAACTAGTGTCTCTTACTTGATTTCAGCACTTTCAGATCCTTGAAGAAGCCGTTCTTCATGCTGGAGATCCTCTGTCTGTACTCCTCCACATTTGTGTTTTCTGGAACCCAAACCAGTGCTTTGAATTTGTGCGACCTCGCAGTCCCAATTCGAGATGAAAAAGAGCTTTCTGTGTCTGTGTCCGCTGCACGTCGAATGCGCAATTCTGCAAAAATAATAGAGAAGCATATCAAAACAACTCGAGGGAAAAAATTAAACAAAGCCAACAGACGGTTGAAAAGAGCAACGAACTCATGGAAACCAAACATAAAATGATTGACCTTTTCTGCAAACTTTCGAGCACACAGACATATCACGTTAAAGCTCTGTGAAGTTCAAAAACCTTTTATGATTGAAACTTGTTCCTTAAGATTAACCCAATTTGAGAAAAATGGGCCAGTGGGTGATTAATTTTATGTTCCTGGGAAATGTATCAATAACTCCACTTTGAAACTAGAACTCATCGATTGGACACCGCTTGCTAATTTCAAGCTTAAAAATGATTCCATTAATGATTATGTTAGACAAGTTATCTGCCTGGAAAACTTGTATTTCAATTATATATTATATGCCAAATCACTCAAACTCGTAAAATCAACCCGGAGTGAGATAGCCGAAAAAGTTGTTTTTCATGTCTCCGATTTTTTCCACACAGTTTCACTTGTTGGAGAGTGATTTAAATAGTTCATTGACATTTTAGTGATTTATCAATTCGTGGATCTGATTAAAAATTTACTACTCTAAACCGAAAATGAAATTTCGTCAAAAAGATGAATATTCGTAAAAGCTCAAACGTTCGATTTGTTCATTGTAAGTGTGGTTTTTCGTTACTAGAAACCATTGGGCTTTGGAATGGATAACAAGATTCCAATCAGCTTACGTTCAATTGTTATGTCTTCATGTTCAACAATAGCCGGTTGAGATAAATCACCGTTGGGACCACCATTTCTGTTCAGCTAAAACACAACATAGTTACAATAAAACTTTATAAAAGTTGCAATTCCTCAAACAGAAATTTCTTGGTTCTCTTAATAGGTGATCAAAAATACCTGTTAAATTACGCTTAATTCACATTTTTTCGTCACAAAACAGTGCGTCTCAAACCAAGTTTTGGGAAACTAATAAAACTTAATTCGAAATAAATAAATACAAAATTTGCTCATTGCAGCAACACAATGACGGGTGATTCATTAAATGTTTCACTGAATAACTAAACCATTTGATCCGAATTTGTGGCTCATTCGAAGTGCGACGACATATTTCGAATAGTTACCATGTCCCCTTAGAGTACCATGTTTTCGAGCTTTTCACAAGTGTTACCAATTTTTCTACATTTCCCAAATCCACGCCAATTGTTTTTTTTTCATGTTTTTTTTTTTAAAATCAATTACGTTTTTTCACAAAAAAACCATGTGCATTCCCTAATTCAAGGCTTTTGCATTGGATCATTTTTAATCAATTCAACAAAATAATTATTTATGATTTACATCAAAAACTGTCGTTTCCAAATTTAACCCATAAGCCTCCTTAGCACCACATAACAAAACTTTGAACTATTTCTTACACTTCAAAATTATAGGTCTCGTTTATATTCAACTTAAGCACAGCAAACAGAAGGCATGAAAACAGAATTTTAGAACAAAAACAGCATAACGGGTTCCCAAAAGTGTTTACTGAGGCTGTGTTTTAATGACAACACAAACAAATCATAATTTCTAAACTTGGACATCAAATAGTTCTCAAATACATGAGCAGACCAATTTAGATTCTGTCAAAGTAACGACAACTCAACTTTTTGAACTCAAAACAAAAACAACACTTTTGTCTGTAGGTCAATCTTGAAATTAAAACTAAAACTACAAACAGAAATGGTATAAATACTGAACTATTTTAAATGTTTCGTTGTTGTAGCGATTTGCTAATGGCTCAAAGCCAGAACATTCTATTATTCTGAACTATTAGTCTAGTTGGAGTCAAGTCGCGATTCACATTTTAAAACTGGGCGAACGAATTTTCAAGTCCCGACGTCAGCAATAACAAACGGTCAAGGAGACGACAATATAATAAGCAGAAACTCGGTTTGATTGGTTAAAAACACTGTAAGAGGAAACTAAAATCCAGTCAAAATCAAACAAAATGTCATGTTCAAAGGACAATTGCAAATTCGCAATCACTGGTCGGGCAAACGGATCTCTTTAACTATATCCCCCTGGGGTACCTAGCAACGATCATCCCCCCGCCCTTATAAAGAAATATATTAACGGTTAAGCATATGAGAATTTTAAACCTAGTAACGAACCTCACCCCACACTTTTTCAAAAGGGGGATACATTTAAAGAGATCCTCTCAAACTTCTTAAAGTTTTTGATTTATCGGTAAAAATTGAGATGCGCTTACTGGGTTCGTTCAATTTAACTTTTCCCAATTAACTTTTTTTAAGTTCGTTTTTATTTCTGATACATTATTCTAGTCTCAACTGTTGAATTTAAAACTCAAATCAGATCAAAACCGCGCATGAAAATTGTTTTAGCCAAGCCTCATAAGTATTAAATGTGCACTTAACTCGCCGCTTGATACCATTCTAGTTGGGACTTAAAACGGAAACCAAATTCTATTAGTCTGGTCTGAATGGCAAGAGTAATTTCTCCATTTCAGGTGCTTATACATTGAACCGTAAACGTACTTAAATGTATTTTACAACATACACTCTCTAATTCGTCAAGATCCAATTTTACCCTTCAGTTTGTTTTTCAATAACAATCGCTCTCAACTTTAAGGCGAGGGACTTGAAAGATCATTTGGTGGCGCGAGATTGTTTTCCCGGTCATCAGTTTGTCGAAACATTTTTTATTTCAAGTTAGCCAGCGTAACTTGTAAGGTCTAGTTCCTCTATCTTTTCAATTCTAGATATAGATTCAAAAAAAACCCAGAATTTACCTAACTCATTCGAACAATCTTGCTAGAAAAAATATCATGTGTCATTGATTTATGTTAAAATTGAAAAAAAAATCATGAAAAAAATGTCGGCTAAATGACGTTTCACCTTTAGCAAGTTTCGACAACAATTCGCGGTGTTTCATTACAGTTTAATTCGAGGTTTGGTTGGAATTATGGGTTAAGGTTTGAAATGGATTGCGCGCAACTTTAATTTTCCGCTCCGAAAGTTCTCGAACAAATTTAGTCTGCCGGTCTTGCCAAACAAGGCAAAAACCATGCCTTAAATGAAGTTAAGTCAAAATTTACTCTACTTTCGGCTTCAAAATCATCGCCCAAACTAAGAAGAGTAGTTTAAATCATAAGTATCGCGGTTCAATGAAAAATAGTTCAAAATAAACAATGACAATTTTGCCTTCAGGTTTTTGATCAGCAGCTATTAAGCTTTTCCTTTGATTTAATCTATTGCACGGAACCAGTTCAGCGGTTCAAATATGTTTTATTGCATAATTCATTCATGCTTCTAGTAATTTGAAATCAAAATATTGAGTTTAAAGAAAAACCACTGCAATGCCATTTTCCGAACAAAAATATTGACGAAAAACTGCAAGCATGACAATTAGGCTCACATCTTTCACATGCTTTAGAGCAGATAAAATTTAAAACTAAATTTTTTTTCTGTGGTGTGATTGATTGATATACTGTAATATATTTAAAACTGAAGAAAAATTACCAATCAATCTTTCGTCAGCAATATTACCAAGCCAAAAATTACAGACAAGTTAGAATCTATCAGTTGTGTGTCCTATTTAACAAGACAGGTCGCAACCACATGAAAGACAGAATTTATTGATATCACAAACAATTATTATGCGAAACTGTATTCTTCAAAATAAGTCAGACTTGCTAAGGTGTAAGAGCCGTCTACTACAAGTAATAAGGTGAAAGAATTGAAAGCAATTGTAACAATCATGTTTTACAACAAGGATATATGGTTTCTGCACCAGTACCACACAATGCTCCGAACTCACTGATTTACAAGTTATTCGAAAATGAAGAAAAAATAACGAAGATTTTGATTTTTTTTTCTTTTTTTTTCTCTAGTTGCTGATAATATTTTCTAAAACAGCAATTGAATTAGATGTAAATGCAACAATGAGTGTTCATAATAGCTATAGATAAGGTTAAAATTATAGGATATTTTTTGAAGTCTGCCTCCGATCAACTTATCCAATTTAGTCTGAAAAAATATTCACCAGTTTTCTCGACTGAGACAATATTTTTTTGATCAGTTAAAACCACGGCTTAAAATATGATACCACACTTGATACCCCTTTGAGTTGTCTTTGATGGCGTGAAAATTGGCTGGAAAAACGTTCCGCTATAGTTCCTTCTCACTTCGTGAAGTGGTCGGAACAAGTCTGATTATTGCATTTAACTAATTCTCATTTACTAAACAGAATACGTCATTTAAATTGTCTTCAGATTGAACATAATATTGCTCAGAAAGTTAATTAGCTCAAACAGACGTGAATAAAAAATTGCATCGTTTCGTTTTTAATTTTTCATGTTTTTTAAGTTAAGAGCGAGTTTTGAAAACCAATCGCTTAATCCTGAGTCTCTTTCATTTCTAAGAAAATTTTACATACGATTTTTTTTCAAACGATTTCGAAAAAGTGAGAAGGAAGAGAATCCATGTTTGCTACTACTTCAACCTTACTTCAGCGAAACTCAGCAATTTTTCGACGAAAATCATCTTCTCTCTCACTGCGCAAGAAATGGTCAAATTCTGGTATTCAAAAAATTATTTTTTAAAGATTTTCTTTTTCAAATATTTTCGTTTTATAGAATTTTTTGCAGTTGTTAATCTTGTTGGAACATTGTGAGCTTCTCGCAGAGTAGCGAGCTACTTTTGCGGTATAAAATTAACTCAATTTGAGAAAACCCGATAAAAAGCATTTTTTTTAGTCCGCTGGTAAATTTAAAAAATGTAACCAACAGCCAAAAAAAACATAGCTAACATACAGTTGGATAAGAATCAATGAACGCAAGTCAAAAGAAAATTATGACTTTTTTGAAAAAAAACCTCAGCTTTCGAAATTTAATGAAAAAAAAAAACCAGATGCTCTAAATTGCTCGTAAATAGTTGCTCTTAAATAGATGCTCTGAATTTCTAGAGCCATTTATCAGTTAAACTAACCCAATTAGAGACACTGGATCAAAAGCCGAAATTTTAATTTCGATGGGAAATTCGACAATTAAATTCCACTTTCGAGATTAGAAGTCGATCACGTTTTCTGAGACATTTACGCTTTCGCTGCTCGACTGTGGAGTTTGCCTTACTTTTATCAAAGGAAATGAACTTAAAAGAAAATCATAAGTCAAACCGCGAAAAAGTAAATTTGAGCCTGAACAAATTTTAAAGCTTTTCCAGAAAAAAGTTATCGCGACCTATATAAAAGCCTCAACTACGTTTATCGACTCTTAAAAAGTTCAATGAACGCAAAAACACCATAATATCAAACTTTTGGAGATTTCTGTAACTTTCAAGTTTCAAAGACAAAAATTATGAAATTGAAGCTCTTTGAATTTGAATAACACAAGGATTGGCACTCTTTAATAAAAAATAACCCAATTTGAGAAAACTGGATCAACAGACAAATTTAATATTCCTGTGGGAAATCATAAAAAATCAACATTTAACACAAGAAAATTTTCTTAAGCTTTTTCTGTTTTCTTAATTGGAGAGCGCAATTTGCCCTCCTTTGAACAAAAAAAAGTGCGAAATGAACTTGAAAAGAATTCAAAAGTCAAACCGCAAACGATTAAGCTTGTTCTGAACAAATTTCATTTGAAAAAGAAAGAAAATCAGCACGGCCTATAAAAGTGTCTTGACTACGTTCATCGACACTTGAAAAACTAGTATTAAAAAGGAACATCGATTTGCAATTTTCGCATAACAGAGTGTATTTTTTTTATATAACCAGGAAGACGGACTTGAAAAGCGAGCTTGAACATAACACCCTAAAAGACATCCATAAATCACACGATCTGTGACCGAGATTTGCAGCCTCACGCCCTGCCCGCTGGGCCACGAACGCTTAACAACCGATAAACACTAGTCACGAATAAAGCAGCTACACATGCTAATAAAACTGCAATACAATGCAGCAAAAGCGGCACAAAATACACAATTTGGCATGTAATAATTTGGAATATATCAAACTGAAGGCATCCACGCTAACTTTGCATGTGATAAATTCGAAAGCATAATGCCATATTATGTATAAAATGAGCATTCAAAAATATTGCGATATATACAGTTGAAAACAAAAGATAATAAAGGCAAAGCAACTGCCATCGAGTGATGCAAATGATCACCTTAAACAGGTCACCTTTAGCACCTAGTTCGGAATTTCCAAGAAAATACAGAAAAATCAATGTTAGGTGTGGTTTTTTTGCGCCATTTGCACACTTTTTCATGGAGCGTTTACTCTGCCTTTGAACTAGCACACGAAAATCAATTGAACTAAAAAATAAGTCAAACTGCCAGAATACAAAGTTGAGTCTAAAGACAACTTAAAAAGTTTTTCACTTTGTTCATTGGCACTTAGAAAACTGTAGGAAAAAATTGAAGAACTTGCAGTTGTGAGCATAAACTCTACAATACAAAAAAAATTGGTTTCAAAAAATCCTCATTATTGCCAAGTTTTTATTCAGGAAACGCATCAACATGAAATTTTTTAAAGTAAACGTAATAAGCGAGCTGTCGCGTAATTCGAACTTTAGTTACTTAAGAACTTAGCTTGAGCTTGATTCGCGAAACTATTTCGACACAGATGTTTTTGTTTAAATTGCATTGAAAATAAGGCTTTCAGTTAAAACTGCCAAAAAGAATAAAAATTATATAAAGCGCACAAATTTACAGACTTCGCTGTAAAAATATGTACATTTTATTTGTATGAAAAGCATCTTTAGGCAAAATCAATTCCCAATTTCTGACCTAAATCTTATCTCAATTTAGAAAAAAAAATGTTAATTGAATTACAAAAATGACGTAATCGCCACTCAAAAATTACATCACTAGTGAAAAATGAGAGTAAATAAGCCAGCTGAAATATAAACCGCCCGAAAATGCGCGGAGTATATAAGCCAGCCGAAACGTTACGTCACATCTATGAAATTTGCATGACTTTCGTAATTGTTGCATAATTGTTACATAACTATTATATAACACTTACGTATTTTCGGCTGGTTGATACTTCGGCTGCTTTATATATCACCGTTAAAAATATTGAAAATATTAACGTTTAATAAAAAATATTTCGTTGATTTATTTAATTATCTTAATACTTAGCCATCTGGTTCCTGCATAAGGGTCTAGCTAAAACCTAATTAACAGATTGATCCGATGCATTTTAATTTAAGAGACGCAATCTGCACATCTTCAGCCTTCAACTCTCAGACTGCCACCACATTTCATGTAAGACAACTGAATTAGGGTCAGCTGATCTCCTTTTCGAACACACTTATCTATACCAGCAGACTAACTTATTTAAGCTCACTTGCATGATGAAGTGATGAAGACTAAGACCTTTGCAGTGATTCTTGTACACATAGAAAAGTGAGCAAATATGATTTAAGCTTCATTCTGTTTTGGAAGCTTCTACTTATACTTTTTTGTAGCTTAGATTCGAAGTTCAAGTATTCGAGACTTAGCTTCGTTATCAAGTGTTCATTTGTTTTAAATTGCTAACTTAAAACTAAAAGCTTTAAACCATCTATATTTCCAAAAGTAGCATTTACAATTACTAAACGTAGTGTAGTTCAACGAACTCAATAATCTGTCATTTAAGCCGTTTTGGCAGAAGATTTATTTGGTGAGAGAGCATTGACAAATTTGTACATATGATACAAGTGTTGTATCCAATTGTGACAGTTAAATAATCAATAGTTTTCACTTCAGATATTTTATTAATGTCAAGTTGACCAAGTTATTTATAGCTAATTGAATCAATTTTGTCAAAAAAAAAATCCAAATGAAATATATGTACCTGGAGAAGCAAAAAACGCAACTTTTTATCAGGATCAAGTATACTTAACATATAAACTGAACGTTTCTTTACTTAGTAAAACAACGTCGTGCAGGCCTGCTTTTCAAGCTCATTCTATTTTAATTTCATTGCTAAAATCAATTTCTATAGCAATAAAAATACCACAGAACTGTTGATCATATGGTTACCTTTTTTATTCGGCCATAAAACTAACATAAATTTCATTTTTCTCTCATGCAGACAGACAATTCCCTGAATTTTCTCTGAAAAAAAAAAACACCGCTTGGAATATTTCTGTTTATTTCCCTCAAATTGTCTGATAAATCACGCACTAACAGAATGCATTGAAAAGATTGCGCTATATAATTCGATTCATACTTTTTTCTTTCATGTTAAAATTGGCCGATAGCAAAAAGCGAGCGTTTTTAGTGTTCCAACAGGTCTTGTAAAATCAATGTGGCTGACCTAAACAAAAATCAATTTTTGTAAATCCACCCCCCCCCCCCCCTCGAGAAAAACATCCAAATGCCCGCTCTATAACGATACCAAACACCGCATAAGTAAAAAAAAATTGTTAGATTACTCATTTTCGAACATAAAACATTATCAATAACAACTTGATCATTCAAACTGAATATCTTCACTATTAAACTGATCTAAACCGGGTTACACTTTAAAAAATAGCTACTTATTTTAGCCATAAAACTCGACATAACAGATATTTGGGCCAATCTGCCTGGTTATTGACTTTTCTACTATTTTACATGCCTGCTCAATGCAATCAACTGCAAAAAGACATCCATATTGAGCCATCTATTTTCAACAGACATCTCCAATCAATGCATTTGTAAATGTGTTTTTATTTCTTCAACCTCACTGAATTGGGGGAATTAGAGCCTAAATGGAAAGGGACTTTTGAACTCAAAAGGCAATAAACCCTAGATACAGAATGCATCTCTTGGCATAAACTTCGAGGAATTGATCATGATTTTGGAAAATAACCTTTCCGATTCGTAACTTTTGAACAAAGATAAACACATTGAGATTTATAGACCAATACGAGCATACGATTGTAAATTAGAATTCATCAGATAACTCAAGAATTGACTAGACTTAGTCTTTTAACAAAAGTAGATGCATTTATACAGCCTTGATACGTCCCTAACCATTACACGCTCTGACCATGCTACACAAGGAAGGCACACTTTTCTATTAATATCTCTTTTTGTAATTCCTAAATTGGTTTTTGAAAAAAAAATACTTACCGCATTGATGAGTTGTTCGAGTGCCTCGTACTTGAACTCTTGACTGTTGGGATTGCTGGTAAAATGGAACTTGGTAGAGAACTTGATCTCGATCATCACGTACGCCACCTCATCTACAACACAGAAAAGCAGTTGTTATTTCACCATTCTTTATTGATAAAACTAGAAACAATAATAAAACTATGGCACCAAGTTTAGCATACTGAGATTAACAGTGTATATCGAGTATGATAATTATTAACAGAACATCGCACCACTTGCGGAGCAAATCAAAAGTAGAAAATGGGAAGGAGGCCAGTATGTCGGAAAAAACCCTCTATATTAAAATGTCATCGAATAAAAACTTACGTACGTTTGTCTCGAATATGTGTAACTTGAGGAACACATTCCGAAAAACACAATGGACAACGTTAAAATACCGTTCAGAGAAAATTTTATCGAGCGCCACAAGCCAAAAAAAACAGGGTAGACGATCATTATAACAATCCAATTTGGAAAGAAATAAAGGATAAATGTGTATTGAATGGAGGTACTCATGGGTTATTTAATTGGGCCAATCTGCTACGTGAGGACAGTTGTCGGGAACCAAAAATTTATGGAACCATCTATTATTTCACTTCTTTGTATCGGTTGCCTTATTTTAGGACAAAGATTAGAAAGAAAATTGAAACGTTAAATCTGCTCATTAATTTGCGAAATACGAATGTGCTAAATCTGTCAGAAAAGATGCGAAAACAACTGACGAAATAACTTGAGTGAGAGCGCTAACGACCCGAAGTTGTTGCATGACGCAAAAACTGTTCCATTGTCAACGAAGTCTGATCGTTTTTGCATTCTGAATTTTGATAGAAAATGATCATCAATAGGTGCGATGAGCACTAATATATCTTCTCTAAGCCTGATCGTACTGAAATTTTGTCTACTAATCCATCGAACAAATCGAAAAATGGCAGACATAATCAATCTGATTTTTGACAGCTAATTCGTTGCGGTTGTGTTTAAAGAACGAGCTGAGCTCCTGCGGTTTCTCATAGCACCCATTAGCATATTCATTCATTCTTATTTTAGAAATATTTTCAGCCTCAACTCTTTTCAAACTGCTCGACCAGCACAAAAAATCGAAAACATAGAAATGTTTCCGGGATCTACTTAACAATTGCCCCCCCCCCTTTAAGAAAGGGGGGGGGCAATTGTTAAGTAGATTAAAATAACACATTTTCGACCAATCAGAATGCAGCAAAATTCTAATTCTCAATAGAAAGCTTAGTGCTAATTTACTGATTTTATTGATAGGGGTGACAATTCTTAAGTAGATACCAAAGGACCTCAAGTAGATCCTGTTTCAGAAATACAAGCGTCTGCTCCAAAATAAAATATTTTTGATCAACTAAAATAATATTCATGTGATAATCTCCAAAAGATATATACTTTCATGATTCGATAAAAACCTCTATTGATATATTTAAAGCCCTACAAGCTACAATGTTAACAGTTGCAAACCACAACAGAAAGACGAAATGGATATCGAACCATTGAAACATGAAATAATAAAAAGTAAAAGCGGCTGACGTGCAAATAGCAATGAATGTTTCGATTGCGCCTATTGAAGTAAAGGAAACTCAAAATAACTGAAAAAAATCAGGAAAGCGAAAAAATTGAACTTTGTTTCCAGTTTTTCGCCAAATTTAGTTTTTTTTTTCGGTGAAGTCGATCAGAATATGAAAAAATTAGATGTAAAACAACCAAAATAAGGTATAATTGCAGTTTAAATGAATTGAGAGTCTTTTGTGCTTTTCGCATCATTCAGTCTGAAACAAGGAAATATTCAGACCAGTTTTTATCAAAAATGAGGCAATTTTTTCGAAAATAACTATGAAATCCAAATCACGGCTAAAAGGACAAGGTTTTATGAAACCATACTTGACTACCTACAAACTTTCTCCAGGACTGTCAAAATCGGAAAAAAACTCTGGTTAATTAATCCATAGTTCTTTCCGGTCACTTTCAGTCAGTTTCGATGAACAATATCGTCATTGGGAGTCGGACGTTGTAGGCAACATTTACGCATCTTGGATCCAACTTTGTAAACCTTAAGAAAACCTTTTAAAAATTTCCTTGGAGACCAACTAACTTGTGGTTTGGTCATCGTCATCTGTGATCATTCCAGATCCCGAGGACAAAAATTCGGAGTCGTCTCCGTCGTCTCTTGTGTACTGTGTAGACGAATAGGACAACTAAATCGAAAAATTAATTATAGTTTAAATTGTGGTTAAACCGGAACTTTCAACATTATAGTTTTAATAACTGATCATAGGTTTCGGAAAACTCAAAAAATATTTGTGATTTAGATCATGCATCCACATGAACCCTTAAATTGATTTCTTAACGGACTCAATAACATCAGCGAAAAATACGCTTTCAGAGCATAAAACTTTTAATTTTGTCGGAATCTTACCGTTGACAGAATTATCATGAAGCAGAACACTATATTTGATGATTTCATTTTCATCGCGTAGCTTGTCGGCTTTGTTGTCTAATTTGCAGCAATCAAAAACTTTTATCGGAGTATGGGACGTTCCTCAAATTCTCGTGATTAATGGTGTTGTAAAATGGTGCTGCAGCTTATGTTAACTCGAATATCATAACCATGGGATTTTTATCTGAAACAAAATTAATTAGTTGCAAATCATTTTCTAATAGCAATCAGACAAGAAGACGTGATGGAACTGAAGTTTTTCTTAAAAGTCTGAGTTGAGAGGTCACAATCATTTGATGTCCACGAGTCTCATAGCCAAATATTTAAATGTGGCTCGAATTAAAAATGACGTGCAATCATAGTATCTGATTTTAACCGTATTATGATTTGAAGCAACTATTCACTGTGCAAGTTTCCGACATCGATATGAACATGTGTTGAAATATTTCGCCATAAACTCTCCGACTGTCAACATTGCTTTCGATCTCGGAGAAGTACGTTGTTGTGACAAACGTTAGCCTAATTGTTGTAATAAACTTATTAAATAGTTTGAGATTGGAATGTCAATGAAAACAAGGAATGGATCTGTGGGAGATAGAGCTCCGGCAACAGCATCAGACGACGAAGACCATTGTCTTAAGTGCAAGAAAGGGGGTGGTGAGAACTGGATTCAATGCGATATCTGTGACGGCTGGTTTCACGATGGATGCTCCGGTCTTCCTGTGGATCTTCTCCCCAAGATAACAAAAGCTAAGTTGTTGCTCTTTCGTTGCTTGATTTGTTTCAATAAAAGAAGCTTCACTTCCCTCTGTTGAAGGTATAAATACAATCACGGAAAAAAATCCTGCGATCATTGAAAAGGCAATAACCGAGTCATTTACAGGCGACACTGTCGTTAAATCAATGCCTACCAATCCAAAAACTGAGCCAAGATCTGTTGATTCTTCTAGCAGAAAAAAATTGGAAATTAAATTAAACGGTATACCAGAGTTTAAAATAGAACCTAGTCAGCAGTTCTCGGTTAAGGGGATGGAACACGATGAGAAACATCTGGAAACCATGTTGGAAACATTTGGTGAATGGGACAAAAGTAGCCTGGCAGGCGTGAAAAGACTTGGACCGTTCAAACAAGATGAACCTAAACCCCGCTCACTACTAGTCGTTTTCAAAAATGCATGGACAGCCAGAAAATGCTTGATGAAAGGACATCTTCTACGCAATCACGCCTATCCTGAATTCATTTGCAAATCACTCACAAAGGATGAAGAAACCATTGAAAAGCTGGGACATGATACAAACAAATATTCCCTGCGAAGAATTGAAAATCAGAAATTTAATGCTGTAACACAATGATATGGTGGTTCCTCTCGAAACGTGACTATCAAATCCTTCTATTTCAATAATTTTTTGAAACATTCGTAGTAGTATTAGCCTGGACAAACGATTAGATTCCATTAAGCTGTTAAATATGTATTTGCCTGATTTACTTTATCTCTACGAAACACGGCTTGATTCCGATGATTCAAACATTCTTCCATCCTGTGGTTATACTGTTGTCTCCCAAGGCTCTCGCAAACAAAGTCAATATGGGGGTGTAGCTATTTTGGTCCAAACTTCAATCCCTGTCACTCTTATTAACAGTACAAACTATCTATATAATTTCTCCTGCGCTTGTGTTGTTATCAGCGACCCTATTACTTTAGTTATTAATATTTATAACCCTGTCTCTTCCTTTTATCGTGTTCCTCTGAGTACACTGAAAAATTGATTATTAGAGTATACAAATAATTTTCTAGCTAAACATCCCTTAGGATGCATAGTTGTTTGCGGCGATTTTAATCTCTCTGATGTCAAGCTTGGTTTCATACGACGGCGCTTCTAATTATTCTAACGATAATCGTGATTGTTTTGCACACTTCAATGGACTTCAGTTAATAGAATCCCCCACTCATGTCAGCCAGAATATATTAGACCTTTTTATATGCAATAAGCCTCAAATATGTTCTCTAGATGTTTTATCTGAAAAATTCAGTTTGGACCATTATCCTCTTACCATGTGTATACTTTGACAACACGACAAATCGATTACAACCGGGTCTGATATCGAATGTTTTTTCGAAATCTAGTTTCAATCAAGATATATTCAATGAATACATGCGTTCCGATGAATCACTTTTAAGCACTTACTAATTAGTGAATTCCGTTGATTTCTTTAATAATTGGTACTCCCTCCTAAATTCGGCAGTGCAAGCCTCAACCCAGCGTAAACGAAACAAACGTAAAAATCTCCCGTTTTGTTTTTCAAGTCATTCTGTGCACATATTTATTCAAATTGAAACCGAAAAGATTAGCGCAAATTGGGGACGAAACATCTATCAAACTTCTCACGCTACAGGAGGATATAAGTAAATCTATAGAAGTTGATAAAATTTTGCTTGTTTCTACTTTTAATGCTCTGAGCACTAATGATTCTTTCAAACTACTTAAAGAACCCTCTGGGATTTCCCCTATACCTCCCAAGGTTTACCTTGGCAACGCCAAGGCCTCAGATGAAAAAGCTAAAGCTGAACTGTTCAATGAGTTTTTATCATCTGTTTACCAGGAAGAATGGTTTAAGAGTACTCCTGCCTCAAATGATGGAAATTGCAATTTTTACCTTGATGAACTTTCGTTTAGCACTAAATATATTGAAGCACTATTGTTAAAGGTACCTGAAAGTAGTAGTCTTTATTTTAAAATCAGGTGCGAGTATTATTGCCCCCTTCGCCTTTATTTTGCTTACCAAATTAGTTATCTCTCTTACATGGCCCGGCCCGTTTCCTGGAAAAGTACATGTATGACGCCATTGCATAAATCGGTATCTAAAGCAGATATCAAAAACTACCGTGGGAATAGCATCTTACGAAGAATATCGCTCGTAACGGAAAAAATGTACAATTTTATATATGAAAAAATTCGCCATAAACTTCCTGACAGTCAACATGGCTTTCGATCTCGAAGAAGTACGTTTACGCTGCTGCTTGATTATGTTGATTACCTCTATTATTTTAACGATGAAAATAAATATTTAAGGTGTGTATATTTTGTTTTTAAGAAAGAATTCGACAGTGTTTCTTACAACAGATTACTTTTTAAACTAGAAAAAGTTGGCTTCGACAAGAAACTTGTATACCTTATTAGTTCATATCTCTCTGATCGCAAGCAACATGTCTGTATTAGCAATGTCCTCTCTTAGTCGTGCTCTGTTACTGGTCGAGTTCCGCAAGGGAGTATTCTAGACCCTATTTTATTTTCAATAATCATAAATGATATGCCAGAGCGAGTTCTCTCTTGGATTTGCTTCTTCATTTTAAATCGCAACATCCCATATAGCACTCCAATGATAACAAAACTCCCACTCTATATATCATATGTCAGAAATAATCTTCTGCTAAACACAGGACTTTGTTCGATGTTCCGAAATTGTGCAAAACTTCAACATGGGAGACATATTTTATTCGGACAACTGCTAATGCCAACATCGTGTCAGCAAAATATGGGATTGACCTTCGCCACGAGAAACCCGCCAGTGCAAAGAGAAATAACCGTGAACTCTTTTTAAATTTATCGATATCAGATTTCAACCCTGAAAACTTATGTACCTTTTTTTATCAATTGTCGCTGTTTAACCTGTAGATCTTAATGCTCATACTTGTATTTCTGTCGCCTATATAAGGAATAAAGTCTTTTAGTAAAAGTAGTAGTAGTAGAAGTAGTAGTAGTAGTAGTAGTAGTAGTAGTAGTAGTAGAAGTAGTAGTAGTAGTAGTAATGAAATAAACTGCGAAATTTCAATTAAAGCCCTGAAATTTGATATCCATTTCAGGGCTTTAAATGAATATCAGATTAATGTCACAATTAAAAGAAAGACGATGGAAAGTTTATTAAATATGGCCCTCAGCCAGCAGCCAGGTGCATTTTAAAAGCAATTAAACTTGGTTTGTTCAAGAAGAAGATTTGGCCCAATCTTTGGCTCAAGAAGCATGAACATGCATTAAAAATGGAAATTCCAGAATTGAGTACACCTGCAAAAATTGCCCCCAATGCAACTAAAAATTTACCTACAGCTCAAAAGGGGAAGAATGCGAGGGATGCTTGAACTGGTATCACGTTGAATGCTGAGATATATCAGAGACTGATTATCAAAACATAGCTGAAATAGTTGCATTTCAAGGTAGGAAAACGAGGCAGAACCTCAAGGTGTGAAACTGTTCCTCCGCCACGTGAGGGTGACCCTGAAAAAGAACTTCAAGCTGCCAAAACAACTCATCCTCACTCACAGCTCACAATTAAAACACCAAATGCCGCGGGATATCGTGCTTTTCTAGATTTAGAAATAAACATCGTTAAAGACAGGAGAGTGAGCTGTGGATGTTAGCAAAAACCAACTGATACAGGTACCATCCTTATATTTAGGAGTTGTGCCCCCATTCAGTATAAAAAAGAGAAAAGAGTGTAATTGAAGGAACTGTTCACCGTGTCTTCCGGAGTACGTCTACCTGGGAAGGTTTTGATAAGGCAACGAAACTCAATCGTAAACAGTGGTGAGACAACCAGTATCTAGATCACTCGTCGTCTCGGGTTGCGTCTCGTGCCCTCAAAAAGATCAAAGGGGAAAATATTAACACCAGTAGCGAGGGTGACAACCAGATAGCTTCTATTAGCAGTAAGGAACTACCAACCATGCGGATTGTTCAATATCGAGGTACCCACACACTCTCGCCGCCATGCAAATAAGGTTTGCAACGAGGAAAATAAAAACCTGTTTGCTGCCGTTGAAATTAGCTTTTTCTGTTGCATATGGTGTTGAAAAGATTCCTGTGCAAATGGTATTGATTAAGGGCAAGCCTCAAGTCCCGCATTTTATTCCGATAAGCAGTGGCTCTCTTCATGTTGAATTTCTTCACGTTCTTCTTCATTTGTTCCGATTAAAATGTTAAGATTATTAGCTCTCCTACCCTTCTATCAAAACGGAGGTTCTGTATCCCTTCCGTTCCCTTCCTTAAACTCTTTGCTCCAAACATCCCAAGATCATCACGTTTGACATTTCTGTGACGGTTTTTGGAAGTTCCAGTATCAGAAATTGAGGAAAATTCATTTGGCTGATAGTCTAAGAACTGTAACACGAAGGTGAGCCCTTAAA